AAAAGCTTAATTTTTCTTCTAAATGTGCGTTTGAATTATAAGTTAAAAATATTGCTAAATACACTTCCTTTACATCTAAAACCGTACCAATTGTTCAAAATAAGCATTTAATTTATTTTTTATCTAAGTATAGTACTACTGTATAATATTTCTTGTTCAATTGAAAGTATTCTAAGTAACAGGAAGCAAATAAAAATAGTGCCAAGAAATAAAAGAATATGCAACTTGTCTGTGTAACCAAAATATCCCCATTGTAGTAACCCAATACTGTACAGGTACTGATAAAAGTTACAACGACCATTACATTAGATGTCACTTCTGCTACTACAGTACAGACCGCTATATTAACTTACGTGGTAGAGGACGGTGAAGACTGAGGGATCGTCCTGAGGAGTTAGTAGTGTGGGAACCTCTGAAGGTAGACCCTCTGCATTCACTGCTGACGTCACGCTCTCCACTCCTCCTACATAACAAAACATTGCTTTATATACTGCATACACACACAACACACAAATATATATATATATATATATATATATATATATATATATATATATATATATATATATATATATATATATATATATATATATATATATATATATATATATAATGCCCCTGTGGACTTCTTCACCCATGTATATGTATAGAGAACTTATTTATAAGTTTGAATACAATGAGACTAAATGAACTTCAATTATTGTGCAAAACTACTTGTCAACAGACTGTCACAATCATGACTGTATTTTACCTTGAGAGGGAGACAAGTGGACAGTGACACACTGCCTGGCGGAGCGGAAAATGTTGGGCCTGGACGCCACCTCCATCCATACACCTGAGAACTGCGAAACAATAATCCGTCACTACAAGAAAATATATACAAAGAAAATGCCATATGCTATTAATTGAATGAATAAATTGTATTGTAGTTCATTACTTCTGCAATTCTTTTGATAAATACTTGTCGTATTTAAGATAACCACTGTACATAATTATTAATTACTTTTGGCATATACAGTACTAAAAAATGCCGCATTTAATAAATAACTTCCTACCACAATTTTTATACCTAACAATTCCATATCTAATTAGATAAAAATAAATATCTAGTTAAAAAAAACACGTAAAGGCTGATTGGTTAAGACCTCCCAAAGAATAATGGTTTTTCGTTTGTGCTGAAAATAAACTTTGATTTGTATGTACCTTCTCGTAGTTAAGTGTAGGGTGTGTTGACATCTGTAGACAAGTTCCATTTCGAATGTATGACAGGTCAGGTGCAGGCAGACCTGCCACGGAACTCACCACCGCCACCATTACAACCACAAGAAACATCTACAAGAAAAACAAAACGATCTCTTAGTACCACAAAATATCATGAAATTATAAAAAGTGCCTTGCATTAAATTTCTGTTCTTATCATTATAATTTCAAATACCCAACATTGTTAGCTGTGACCAATGAAAGTTAATCAGTAACAATATAAAAAAAACATGAGTGAATTTTTGCATAATATTTTCTTTACATATTACAGTACTCCCATGAATAGGAGAAATTTTTCAGAGCTTTTAGTCTTACCATTGTGAAGACACACGTTGAGTTAGATGAATGAGGTTACAAATAAAGTAGTATGCAACGCAGGCTAAAGGAAGTCGATCGTTGGTGGTCGCAACTCGTACTGCAGGGATGAGCGCTGGCTGCTCCTTATATATTCCCTTCTGCCCTCCTCCCCCATGCCCCCACCTCGCCACCCCAACACCCGCCCTCCCCGCCTTGCATCATGTAACTGATGGCCCTGGAGGGTGGAGGTTAGTTTGCGTACTTGTATCCCACGTGAGCTGCCATGCACAGGCCAACCGGCCTATTGCAGACTCCTTATTTTCTTATGTTCTTATGTGACCAAATATCTTTCCAGGCCGCTTACATAATTAGAGACCTATCATGCTTTGCCGTATACAGACGAACATGCACAGGGAATCCTCGCTATGTAGTATATTGTACACTTATCCTTCCATCGCTACTTGTAATTTGTTAACACAAACAATGGCCCCTCAGGTGCTTGCGCCCTTCGACTATTTAAATATAAGAAACCCAGCATGAACTCCATATACTTCCCTGTTGGACATAGTAATGCTCAGCACTTCGCCTTGCACAGGATATGCAAGGAGCGCTCAATAAACTAGCCCTGCTCCTGCGTGGGGGCTAACCTGCCCTGAATCTGACTTTCCTTTTGAGTGTCAGTATTCGTTTGTTCGTATACTGTACACGAATAAAAGAATACAGACACCCAAAGGGAATGACAGATTCAGGTTTGATTTGCCGCCACACGGGCCCTCTGCTAGTGTGTGTGTGTGTGTGTGTGTGTGTATATGTGTATATAAGATTTATCTAATCCACATTTTCATTATGTATCTACATCATATATATATATATATATATATATATATATATATATTTATACATACTGACCATCACTAAGGTTTTTAGAATTCAATTCCCTAATCAAACTAGCTTCAACCAGAAGTCTTTCTGTGACACATGATGATTTATACACTTCTAAGCTGTTTTCCCAATCCATGGGATGATTATTATTCCTAACATGAACGAACAAGGCACTGCTTTCAGATGCTGTTCTGATATTGTACTTGTGCTGTTTAATTATGAGTTGCAATGCTTTCCCAGTGTGTCCTACATAATTTCCCTTACCATTGCTACATGGAATGCAGTAAACACTTCCATTTACATTCAAAGTTGGGCTATTCTTGATTAATATATTGGTAATTGTTGAGTTTACTTAAAAACAACATTAACATTTAATAATTTAAGGGACTGAACTAACGGGACAAATTCACTGCGATAAGGCAGAGTCAAAATATTCATAAGTGTAGGAATTTGCCTGGTTTGAGTAGAATGAAAGGATTTTTAGCCCTTTTAAAACAATGATCAACAAACAATGAAGGGCCTCCACCGCTTGCACACTAGCCCCACCAAGTACCTTCGTGTGGGGAACCCAAAGGCAAAGACAACAAAGCCAACCCCCTCAACTGGTCAACACCGAAAATGCGGCCCATTTTCCTGGCCTCCTTACGGCCACACGTCAGCCCCTCATGGCTTCCGAGTGTGAAAAATTATGTGGGAGAAACAAATCGCGTTGCTTCTTTCTAATAATTTTTGTGTTTTACACATTCTCGGGTATACAACCCATAAATCTACTTCTCAGCCCCCCGTGTGTGAGTAGGCTTGTCTAGATTTTATGTCTGTGTTGACGTTTGAATTACTTTCCAACAACCAGACTCAGAGAGGTCGGCCAGTTAACAGCCAGACACGATACCAAAGAGACGTGTTGTGAGCCTAGCTCCCCAGGCTGTACCTCTCTCTCATTATATTAGCTAATTACAAGCTAATGCTCATAAGTCTGTCAACAACCAACCTTGTAAGACTAGACTATCCAATATAACTATAAAATCACACGTGTGTTTACATTAAACCATGGAACAACAAGTAAAGATAACAGAACCTGTGTGTACTTGTGTAACTTACAAGCTAAGATAATTAAAAGTACAACCCAGGGCGGCTGTGACGATTTCAACTATCAACCAATCTACGACTGTATCAAAGGTGACACTCTGTGAGATTACCTAATATCTCACCCAGTTTCATCAAAGCTATCAGCGACTACCTACACTCATTCAGGCAAGTGTTAACAAGTGAGATAGTTCGATATCAAATCACAGCCCAAACAGCGAGAGTAAGAGAGGCTATCTAAAAGGGTGTCATAAAGGGTCTGGCCACTTTCGTCCCTTCATTGTGGAGGGAAGGACAGTTGGCATTATTTGAATATTCTTACTAAATTCCTGAAATTCATACTCTTATTTCAATCAAATTATCTGTTCACTTGAGTTCATAACTGCCTCTTCTGAAATGTTTCCGTATTAGTGTATATATATATATATATATATATATATATATATATATATATATATATATATATATATATATATATATATATATATATATATATACTGTATATGTGTGTGTATAGTAAAGATGTAGCTGAACTAGGGGCAGGGCGGAGAAGAATAAAAAAATCAAATTCACACACACACACACACACCATCCATCCAGCTTAATGGTACTACTCTCTCTCATGTTACCCACTTTCAGTACCTTGGCTCCCACCTGTCCACCACCGCAGACTTTGGTGAAAAGATTCAACATCGGATCAGATGTGCATCTCAAGCCTTTGGCAGACTCCGTACCCTTGTCTTCAGCTGTCGGGAGCTGAAATTATCTACAAAGCTGCACATATCTTGATCAGTAGTCTTCCTGACCCTGCTGTATGGCAGCGAGACATGGGTCACATATAGGAGGCACCTCAAGGCACTTGAAAACTTTTACCAACATAGTCTACATTCCATCCTCTGAGTTCACTGGGAAGACAAGAGAACAAATTCCAGTATTCTCATTAACACCAAACTGTAGGAGCATCAAGGCTCCCATTATCCATAAACAACTACGTTGAACTGGCCAAAGCAACTACTGTACCTGTACAGCAACTACTTTACAGCCACCGAACGAATGGTTAACGTAATGCTGGCGGGCAAGAGAAAAGGTATAAGAATAGTCTTAAACCTTTAAAAGAGCCAAATTAACCCCTCACCTGGGAGACGATTACTCCACACCGTAACGCATGGAGAAGCACCATATGAGGTGTCAATACTTTCGAGTTTGCCCAACTGTATAGCGAGGCAGACAAGCGCCAGCGCCAGAAAGACGCTGCCACCGCCTCTCCCACACTATATGTAGCTCTCCACATGTCCTGTGGACTGCCCTACTTGTCCCGTACCAGCCTCTCGCGTCACCTCAGAGCTCACCAACGAAGGTGATATCTTTAATAACTCATATTATTGAATCATAGCTGGATGATTGTCCTACTCGATTCCAAGTGACAGCGAAGTAGTAGTACCGGTGGTAATAATATTGATCAACAAGAAATACACTTATGATAAGGTTCTTTTTATTAAAAATGCATAGTACAAAAATAAATAATTCATCACAGATAACACATCACATTTGCAGAATTCCACAGTAGTAGTGCCGCTTGTTTCACCATCTACTGCTCACCTACAATCTCGCTTATGCCAATAACATACTGGTTTATCAATAGATAAGCCAGTTCTGGGAGGGACATATCCTACCACTGGGTAACAAGTTACGTTACAAGTTAAGAGATACTCCCAGGGAAGACACTGTCCCAAAGACATTGGATGCTTGAGGGGAAGGCAAGACGCCTGTCCCAATCGACAAAAGCCACTATCAGATGGCATTGTTGGGAGAAAGTGAAGGCAGAGGAGGGGCCTTTATCTACTCAGCCACGGCTGTGTTACACGTCTCCGCTGGATGTGGCGAGGACATGATACTCTCCACATCGAACCCCTGAGATTTGAAGACCTTTCTGCATCTCTTGTTGGCTGGTGCGGCCTCCTTCAGATCCCGCGAGTACACATATGCCCACTCAACCTTTTGGGTGGGTGTGGCCTGTTGACACTGGTAGACACAAGCCATGGTGGTGTAGTCAGTGTCAACCACCGATAGTTTTCCCGTAGCTATACCCTGCATAGTAAGGTGAAGTTAAGTTATATATCAAAAGCTTAATTTTTCTTCTAAATGTGCGTTTGAATTATAAGTTAAAAATATTGCTAAATACACTTCCTTTACATCTAAAACCGTACCAATTGTTCAAAATAAGCATTTAATTTATTTTTTATCTAAGTATAGTACTACTGTATAATATTTCTTGTTCAATTGAAAGTATTCTAAGTAACAGGAAGCAAATAAAAATAGTGCCAAGAAATAAAAGAATATGCAACTTGTCTGTGTAACCAAAATATCCCCATTGTAGTAACCCAATACTGTACAGGTACTGATAAAAGTTACAACGACCATCACATTAGATGTCACTTCTGCTACTACAGTACAGACCGCTATATTAACTTACGTGGTAGAGGACGGTGAAGACTGAGGGATCGTCCTGAGGAGTTAATAGTGTGGGAACCTCTGAAGGTAGACCCTCTGCATTCACTGCTGACGTCACGCTCTCCACTCCTCCTACATAACAAAACATTGCTTTATATACTGCATACACACACAACACACAAATATATATATATATATATATATATATATATATATATATAATGTCCCTGTGGACTTCTTCACCTATGTACTGTATATGTATAGAGAACTTATTTATAAGTTTGAATACAATGAGACTAAATGAACTTCAATTATTGTGCAAAACTACTTGTCAACAGACTGTCACAATCATGACTGTATTTTACCTTGAGAGGGAGACAAGTGGACAGTGACACACTGCCTGGCGGAGCGGAAAATGTTGGGCCTGGACGCCACCTCCATCCATACACCTGAGAACTGCGAAACAATAATCCGTCACTACAAGAAAATATATACAAAGAAAATGCCATATGCTATTAATTGAATGAATAAATTGTATTGTAGTTCATTACTTCTGCAATTCTTTTGATAAATACTTGTCGTATTTAAGATAACCACTGTACATAATTATTAATGACTTTTGGCAGATAAAAAAAAATATCTAGTTAAAAAACACGTAAAGGCTGATTGGTTAAGACCTCCCAAAGACCACTGGCAAAAAAAATATAATAATAATGGTTTTTCGTTTATACTGAAAATAAACTTTGATTTGTATGTACCTTCTCGTAGTTAAGTGTAGGGTGTGTTGACATCTGTAGACAAGTTCCATTTCGAATGTATGACAGGTCAGGTGCAGGCAGACCTGCCACGGAACTCACCACCGCCACCATTACAACCACAAGAAACATCTACAAGAAAAACAAAACGATCTCTTAGTACCACAAAATATCATGAAATTATAAAAAGTGCCTTGCATTAAATTCCTGTTCTTATCATTATAATTTCAAATACCCAACATTTAGCTGTGACCAATGAAAGTTAATCAGTAACAATATAAAAAAACATGTGAGTGAATGTTTGCATAATATTTTCTTTACATATTACAGTACTCCCATGAAATAGAAAAATTTCGTTGCTTTTAGTCTTACCATTGTGAAGACACACGTTGAGTTAGATGAATGAGGTTACAAATAAAGTAGTATGCAACGCAGGCTAAAGGAAGTCGATCGTTGGTGGTCGCAACTCGTACTGCAGGGATGAGCGCTGGCTGCTCCTTATATATTCCCTTTTGCCCTCCTCCCCCATGCCCCCACCTCGCCACCCCAACACCCGCCCTCCCCGCCTTGCATCATGTAACTGATGGCCCTGGAGGGTGGAGGTTAGTTTGCGTACTTGTATCCCACGTGAGCTGCCATGCACAGGCCAACCGGCCTATTGCAGACTCCTTATTTTCTTATGTTCTTATGTGACCAAATATCTTTCCAGGCCGTTTACATAATTAGAGACCTATCATGCTTTGCCGTATACAGACGAACATGCACAGGGAATCCTCGCTATGTAGTATATTGTACACTTATCCTTCCATCGCTACTTGTAATTTGTTAACACAAACAATGGCCCCTCAGGTGCTTGCGCCCTTCGACTATTTAAATATAAGAAACCCAGCATGAACTCCATATACTTCCCTGTTGGACATAGTAATGCTCAGCACTTCGCCTTGCACAGGATATGCAAGGAGCGCTCAATAAACTAGCCCCGCTCCTGCGTGGGGGCTAACCTGCCCTGAATCTGACTTTCCTTTTGAGTGTCCTTTGTTCGTATACTGTGCACGAACAAACGAATACTGACATATATATTTCGTGTAGATCCGCAATGGAAATGTGGAGAAGATAAATCTTGATAAAATCACACAGGAAAAAGGGAAACAATGGAGAATCTTAGCTTTCGTCTTTATTCAAGACATCATCATAGGCAACTGAATAACAAAGACTGAGAGAGAGCTTATGTACACAGGGTGACCTTACAAAACATGAGGTCAGGTCAAAAAACATGACATCCACTAATCCACGCACCAACCACACAGCAAACATAAGAAGAGATTATAAGAACGGGCGACATAACTAGTCATGTCACGTCAGGTAAAAAATATGAAACCCACTAATCATCTATCATACATCAACCCTTCATGCTTTCAAAGCATTTTTAACCTTGGGCCACTGTTACACAAATTTATTTATCAGTAAGGGTGTGAAAATGTGTCCAGCAGTTCTGATGACTCTTAGGGGTAGTGCGGATACTCCTCACTGTACCAAGAGTTTGGTACACAAGGAGGTATCGTAACCAACACTGTGCTCGACCGCTTTCACTTCCCAACTGTAAAACTAGGTATCCACTCACAGCCGGGTAAACTATGTATGCATTTATTCGGCCGCCAAATCCATAATCATGGATTATTTCACCCAGAGCTGAAGGAATGTACGAGAGATACGTAGCGTCATTATTGACCTTGATCTAACACAGCCTCGGGGCCCCACGTGCACTCAAAGAGCCACGGTAGGGCTGGCAACTCTCCCCGAGTCCCCGGTCTCCCGCCCGGCATACTGGCTTGGTTCCCGAATTTTTAGTCTTGCGTATTGTACAGTAAATGCCCTTTGAGTGATCAGCTACTTCTTATCAGTTTTCACAGAAGAAATTTGCGATGAAATTCCAGAGGTGGAACTGATATTTAAGGGAAAGGAAGAAGAGAAATTAAAGAATATCACTATCAGAAAAGAGGATGTTCTTAAGAAGATAAATAAACTAAAGAAAACAAAATCCCCAGGGCCGGATGAAATTTTCCCTCGAGTCTTGAAAGAGTGTAGGGAACAGATTAGCGGACCCTCGTAAACTTATTTACAAAGTCATTAGACACTGGAGTTGTGCCAGACTTGTGGAAACAGGCAAATGTAGTACCCATATTCAAAAAGGGAGACAGAGCATCAGCGTCAAATTACCGGCCGATCAGTTTGACGTCAGTAGTGGGGAAATTTCTTGAATCAATTATAGCAGATAGCATCCGATCGCATCTAGAGAAAAGCAAATTAATCTACGACTCTCAACATGGGTTTACAAAGGGAAAATCTTGTCTAACAAATCTGCTAACGTTTTTTAGGAAAGTCTTCGAGGTAGTAGATAATGACGAAAATTACGATGTTATTTACTTAGACTTTAGCAAAGCATTTGACAGAGTACCGCATCAGAGGCTTCTGAGAAAAATTAAGGCTCATGGTATCGAGGGGAAAGTTTTAAATTGGATAAAATCATGGCTCACCGATAGAACGCAGAGGGTCAGCGTAGATGGTGTTAAATCTGAGTGGGGCCGTGTAACCAGTGGGGTTCCCCAGGGGTCAGTACTAGGCCCACTCTTGTTCATAATCTACATAAACGATCTAGATACTGGGATCAGCAGTGACATAAGCAAGTTTGCGGATGACACCAAAATAGGGCGGCAAATTAATTCAGGGCAGGATGCAAATGCATTACAGGAGGATCTAAATAAACTGCAGGGGTGGTCTGAAAAATGGCAAATGAAATTCAACACCAGCAAGTGCAGCGTACTTAATATTGGAAGAACAAATACTTATAATGTATACACCCTTAACAACATCAACCTAGAGAAGTCGACTTGTGAAAGAGACCTAGGGGTACTTGTAAGCCCGGACCTACGGCCTAGAAAACAGTGCGTTAATGTTCGAAATAAGGCAAACAGAGTATTGGGTTTTATATCTAGAAGTGTAAGTAACAAGAGTGCAGAGGTCTTATTGCAACTATATCTTGCACTAGTCAGGCCGCACCTCGATTATGCGGTTCAGTTCTGGTGCCCCTATTATAGAATGGATATAAATTCACGAGAGTCGGTGTAGCGAAGAATGACAAAAATGATTCCGGGACTTAGAAACCTTCCATATCAGGATAGATTAAAGAAACTTAACTTGCATTCCCTAGAAAGACGAAGAGTGCGGGGAGATATGATAGAAGTATTTAAGTGGGTGAAAGGAATCAATAAAGGGGATATAGATAAAGTTCTTATAATATCCGAGCAGGATAGGACTCGGAGCAACGGATTCAAGTTGGATAAGTTTAGGTTTAGGAGGGAGATAGGTAGAAACTGGTTCACAAATAGGGTGGTGGATGAGTGGAACAAGCTTAGCAACTTTGTAGTAAGTGCGGGAACTCTGGAAAGTTTCAAAAGGAGGCTAGATAGATTCATGGATGATAGAGAGTGGTAGTAACTCTCGACAGGAGCTGCCATGCACAGGCCAACCGGCCTATTGCAGACTCCTTATTTTCTTATGTTCTTATGTTCTTATGACGGAAAATGCAATAAATAATAAGGTTATCCATTGATTATTATTGATCTGGGTGATGTTCTGATAAAGGAAACAAGGTAACGCTGTACTGTAATAATCTGTCAATCCCCACGTTGATTACACATTGCACATTTTGCACGGTATCGGAAACTATTAGGTGAAATTTTACTTTGATTTCAGCCTTGGTATACTACAGTATTTCGGAATGATAAAGAAATGGGCGAAATAGACAAATTTCTAAAATTCCCAGCGATTGCACTGGATGCACGAATAAGAGAAAGTATTTATTTATTATTATTCTGTCGGGTTCGAAGTACAGTGAGTAACCCAATATAAGAATATGAATACTGACGCCTGTACAAAATTAACAATCATTCGGCAGTACGGATACTGTTGTACATATTCCAGCGTTTCAATGGCCTGAAGGTCTATTCCAACCTAACTCGACCATCGCACCAGTGAATCATTAGAATATGGGCAGTAGAAGAAAGTGTCCAAGTTTTTCTAGCGCGTGGTCGCGACAAGGTACTGGAGCTAGACGTTTCCAGGAACTGACCCGGCGATTCAGAGAACCTCTGCACAGTAGCTATTGAGGGAGGGGGAGGACTATAAAAATTGCTGCTCCTCTTATTTTTTGCATTCTTGGATAGACGTTGAATAAGTGCTGACACAGCTTATCAATGAAACTGTACTATTATACAGTACCTTATTTCGTATGCTGTGGAGCAGTAATATGCAAAAGAAAAAATACTGTTTTTTTTTTTAAATGCATCCTTAGAGCACCAAATCTGGTTATCAATTAACGCACTAAACACAGTGGAGATGCAGAAAATTAATGTTACTTATGATCATAAAAAAACAATGTAATATTTTATATTCTTAAGTATAGAAAATGAGTTGGCATTCAGTTGACTTAAATGAATACATGAAACATGAATAAAAATTAAAGGGAGTAACAATTCTTCCAGTAACTCATTATAACATAGCAAGGTGGACGACTAATTTATGCATTTTATGTGTATTATATGGAGAAAATATAAAATTGGTTATATTAGCATATCTTAAACATATTTCATATGAAAAATTGACACGTTAACAACCTTTTAAAATGATGCTCCGTATAGTGATGCGCCAGCTCAATAGATGGCACTGTCGTGGATTTAAACCGTACATCTTTTTTAATGGTAGGGATAGTTGCTTTCCTATCTTTCGTATAATTATAGTCTTGGGATCAAGTGTCACTGACCCACTGTGTCGTTGTTGACTTTAACTTGAAGGTGTTGTGATTCCGTGTAGTTGTCGGGCTGTCAGTCGTGCCCTGGTCCCGTAGGCGTAAGTCATCTGTTGTTTTGACATTATCGTGAATGTTTTTTTAGCAAGAATACATTAGGCAACGTTTTGGAAGAGGCTATTGATCCTGTGACTTTACCTTTACATTTTGGTACCATTTACATGACTTGTGGCTGTGGTAGCAGTGTACTGGGTAGTTATAAATATAATATCTATACTAACCCCTTTACTACAGGGAAGCCATGTTTAATATTTTATTTAGCTAACGCCAGACGATTTTATTCAGATCAGAGGCGACCTGTGCACAAGGGGTATAAGCATTAATAAGTACTGGAGCCATCATGTCCGTAACCGTCACTTTGAGCTTGTCGTTCAAGGACTATTACGTGAAAGACAAGGACCATAAGCAAAAATCACCAAAGAAGAAATGATCAAGAGTGATTGCAACTACGCCAAGAGCTTGATGAAGCAGACCGTATACAAGAAACTGAAGACTATTAATGTTCTACAATTGGTATGAGAGATGATTACCAGGAGGTGAGAGCCGGGTGTTTTAAGGTAAGTTCTGGGTTCAAATTCCAAAATATTAATTAGGAGTCACCTG